TAAGAGCATAATTTTTAATATCATTTTTCAAAAAAACTACATTGGCAATCGATCTGATATTTTTACACGAGACAGTTTGCATATTTATTAACAGATTTCAATTGCTTTGAAAACTTTCTTACCATTTTTTTTTCGGTATCGAACCTCCTTAATTGGCCGCGTCGTGTTATAAGATTTTTTAATTGATCTGTCATTTTAAGTATATTAATTCGCAACTAGAAATGTAATGACTACAAATTGACCCAAATATGTAAGAAAATTTAAAGTGAATGTAACTACGCAAGATCAAAGCAAGTACCTACCTACAGGATTAGGACCTTTAATGAAACAAATAATGGAAAATGGCTGACCTACGTACGTATTTATGCCCTGTCAATTTTTGCGGGTTATAATAGATTGGTTTATCTGCTCCTTTCCTCTCGCCTCGATGCGGTGTGTTGTACCTTTTTGCGTGAAGGATCGGCTTGACTGCTGTGTCCCCTTCGCACTTCTTTATGTCTTGTTGCTTATGAATTGACGATTTCTTGTGTTAATTTCGCTCGATGGACCAACAATGTTCCGGGGTATCTTTTTTATAATTAGTATATTTGTTGGATGAGTGATACATAAACAACTTGACAAGACGTTATTTCTATTTTTTTTGACTTAGTTCACGTAAAAATAATCACATGCATCATTTATATTCTGCAGAGTAAGTAGAATATCCCAATTTATTTCAGATAAAGAAGTATACAACATGGGAAAAGCGTTCCTAAAATTATAGTCTACGACACTGTTTACGTCCAAAGCAGTAGCAGATGCTAGGACTTTAAAATAATACAGTAGAGCATGTCTTCGTAAACAAGAGGCTCGTCGCATCTTTTCAGAGAACAGTGAACATTTGAAGACGACATAACTAAATCAAGTATTCGAGAATTCATGTTCAAAATATCATTGTGCTGAATGCAAAAAGTGAAATCTAAAAAGTTCAACAACTGCTTTACCTTCCTTGTAGCTACATTGGTTATATAAAAAGACTGAAGCTCAGGGATATTAAAATCAGCACTAATAACTACATATTCTGTATCAGGTTTCTTCCAAATAATCAAATAATCGTATAAACTCTGAGTCTGGGAGAGAGGGGGAATATACAAATTAAGAAAAACTAGTGTACTGCCACAATAACTGACCTTAACAGCACTCTCTCTCTTGATACTCTTGATACTTACTATGCTCGCCGAACCATCTCGTCCTATCCCTGTCATTCATATTGCTGATTCGCACTGAATGACGCTTAGAATATTTATTTTACATACCAAAGATTAATAATTAATAATTTTGCTTCGTTCCGTTTCGTCGGCATGAGAATTGTAGATTAAACGACAGAGTCCTTCAAAATTTTATGTGCATATTCTCTTAAAATGTTAAAAATCAATTTGGTCTTCTATTCTCAAATCTCATAAAGAGAAGATCAGGTGCATTTTTTTAATAATGTTCTAATTCGGCATGTTTTGTAATGAAGTAATTTTTAGACAGGGGCATTTTATTTTAATAAATGTGTAGTACTGCACCGCCATTTGCATTTTTTAACGCTGCCTGAATTAACCCGACAAGACGCAAGCGCGAAATCGCTGACGCATTTGTTTGCCTAGGTAGAATAGAATCTAAAAATTAGTTAGCAGTCGCCAGCTAGCGAGAGTCCGTCATCAGCTCCAGCAGTGGAAAGGTCACCGTTGGAAGTAAGTAAGATTGTACTAATTGTGTCCAATTTGTGAAGACTGCGCAGCCGCCACTGTTCGCCGTAGGAACTTGGCAGTCGAGCTAAGTTTGAAAATGCAGTTCATCTCCACCCGTTGCAGCGAGTAGTCCGGTACACCAATATTAGGAAATTCTCAAGTGGTAATATTCTATTAAGTCCAGCTTGTGAGGACTGCGCAACCACCACTGTTCACCGTAGAAGCCTGGAAATTAGACTGGGTTGGAAATTCAGTTCTTCTCCATCCGTCGCAGCGAAGAGTCCAGTCCGCCAACACAAGGAAGATCACTGAAGTAAGTAAGTTCCATGCATATTAACATATTAACAATTTTTGAAACATGCGAATAAATAATATGTAAATGTCTTATATTTACACGTGTGAAACTTTTTAGAATGAACAATTATACCTAAAAATACAGTATAATGATAGTCTACCACGTCGCGTCGGAAGCGTTCCAGCACTACAACCGTACAGACGCAGACATGCCAAAGAGAGAAAGTGAATAAAATGTTTAGAGATGTTTAGGTAAAGACTTGGCTACTATGTGCTTTATATTAATCATATATTTTTTTAAGCTATCGTACTGTCGTTTCCTTCCGGTGTACTTGACCTGACGCGTGATCGGTTCATGCGATGTCGTCCCCCCATATTCCGATGAGTTGAAACGCAAGTCGTAACTAATGATATTTTCGTAATTCACTTGCTGTTACCGTTCGGCAAACTCTGTGATGCTTTGCCGTTAATCAGGTTGCCGCTTAACAACGTAGTCGCTTGTCGCCGTCTAAGCACCGTAAATATTTATAAACTGTGATTTTATTTCTGTGTGAAGTCTAACTCTGGACATACGGTGTCTTCACTGTAGCCTGCCTGAGAATTGATGTTATTGCACTATAAACAGAAACTGGCGCCCGAGGTAACAACCGCCAGACGTAATAGTGACGTACATACTTCGCTGCCGACGAACGAAGTCGTAACGTCACAGTGTGTATATTCCTTTCTTTTACTAGGCTCCAACAGCATACTAAATAAGATCATCATTGCACAGATTTTGATAGGTTTTCCAGAATCTTTCAACAAATAACTGCTTAGATGCTTTTTCAGATGGCTATCTATTTATTTATTTATTCATTTATTCATTCAGTCATTCGTTCGTTCGTTCGTTCGTTCGTTCGTTCGTTCGTTCGTTCGTTCGTTCGTTCGTTCGTTCGTTCGTTCGTTCGTTCGTTCGTTCGTTCGTTCGTTCGTTCGTTCGTTCGTTCGTTCGTTCGTTCGTTCGTTCGTTCGTTCGTTCGTTCGTTCGTTCGTTCGTTCGTTCGTTCGTTCGTTCGTTCGTTCGTTCGTTCGTTCGTTCGTTCGTTCGTTCGTTCGTTCGTTCGTTCGTTCGTTCGTTCGTTCGTTCGTTCGTTCGTTCGTTCGTTCGTTCGTTCGTTCGTTCGTTCGTTCGTTCGTTCGTTCGTTCGTTCGTTCGTTCGTTCGTTCGTTCGTTCGTTCGTTCGTTCGTTCGTTCGTTCGTTCGTTCGTTCGTTCGTTCGTTCGTTCGTTCGTTCGTTCGTTCGTTCGTTCGTTCGTTCGTTCGTTCGTTCGTTCGTTCGTTCGTTCGTTCGTTCGTTCGTTCGTTCGTTCGTTCGTTCGTTCGTTCGTTCGTTCGTTCGTTCGTTCGTTCAACCATCGATCCAATCATTGATTCATTCGTTCATTCATTCATTCATTCATTCATTCATTATTTCATGAAAAAACGAATCCTAATGAATAAACACATAAAAAAGAGGCAAATGTGTTGTTAACACAACTCATAATTAAGTGAACATTGATATAATTTCTCTCCTAACATGGTTAAAATACCTACAGAGCAAATCTATATGATTAAAATTATTAACATAATTTGTCAATATATCATGTCGTAAGTGGGATTCTATGCTACAGTGTCCAATTCAAGAAGACCACAAATAAGTGATGCATAAGAGCATATCTGACTTAACCATAGTAACTGATTCTGACGTTAGTTATGAAATCTAGATTTCTGTAAGCTTTTCTAACATTACCCATACCCCCACCCTCCAAAATATTTTGTAATAGAAAAGTGGTTACATAAACATCACATTTTAAAAATATGTTGGCTCTCTTTACAGCAATATGTTCTTTTTTAAATTGGGTCAATTTGTACCAAGAAAAAGAATCCTGACATGATGTTCTATTGTTAAATTTGTGATGCCAAAAATAACCAATAGTAGTGAGTGATTGTTGCTTAAGTTGCTAATACAACGCATTGGATTTAATCGCACAAAATGGAGACGCAACCATCCACGTTATTGACGAACCGTAAACTGAAATAGTTTATGTCGAAATCACAGAATTAAGTGTCTATTTGCCGTTATAGCTACTAGAAACATCATCATAAGTCGCACATTCTCACAATTATATTGTTGAACGTTGTCATATAGAAAACAGTTTGCAAATGTGAAGATTACAAAAAAAAAACTTTTGCAAATGACATTGTTTCTAATTGCATTTTTCTTCTCTTACAGATAAGGCACCTTCCGAGGCAGTTTTCCGTGGAACGGAGTTTCTCTCTTACGATTTGAGTCAGACGGGGGGCGAACCCATAGTGAGTGCCCAGGACTCCGTAACGTTTTATTTCAAGACTAGACAGCCCAACGGATTGCTGTTTTACACCGGTAAGTGAGATTTGTAGTTTTAAACATGGCGTTCCGTTCAGCTCGGTAATAGCCGATTACAAGAGCCCGGATTAGCACACGATTCTGGAGTAACATGAGCGTCCAACTCCTCAAGATTGAAAAATTAGTTCCCACACGAAGTAAAATTTTTTCGCGATGTTTATAATTTAAAGTATATTATTAAAATGACGTGGATCTAATATTTTTAGATACTCTGTAATACAACTACCCTAGTTTACTGATTAAATTACTTTCATTTACATCTTATTTATGTTATTTTAGGATTGATTAATTTCCATTTAATCCGTTTTTAACATTCAAAAACATATATGTATTTTATTAATTCATTTGACTTAATAGCTGCACAATACAGAGAGTTGTCAACTTCAAATTTAGCGCTATTATATCTGAAGTTAAAAGGGTTTAGCTTTATTCTACCTATAGCATAATCATATCATTAAGAATATACACTTTTCTTTTAAATATATTTTGAGACAAAGAATTATGATCTTGAGAACATGTAAAATCGGTAGATAGTTACTTACTACTTTGTTACTACTACTCCTTGTTACCCCATTTGTAATAGCTCCGGATATTTGGGCAGCAGGTAATGTTTCATAGGCTTCTCTTATACGGGCAACTAAGTTTTCTTTGGAATAAACTGGCGTTGAGAACACTTTCTCTTCTATTGCACCCCAGATATAAAAATCTGGTGGTGACAGATCTGGAGATCTTGGTGGTCAATCCATCTGTCTTCAAATATATCGTTTAATTGGCGGAATAAATAAAGTCCCTCACCTGATTGTCTTTAACTAAGCAAAATACGTTGACACTAAACTTGTGTTAAAAATTTCCTTCGCGGACGACATGTGGATTTTCTGATGCCGAAAAGTGTCGATTGTGTCTATTAAACATACCTTCGTTACTAAATGTTGACTCATCTGTCCAAATGATATGGCGTAAAAACTCTGGATCTTCTTGTGTTCGCGTTGAAATCATTTCATAGAATTGGGTTCGTCTTTCAGCATCTCCGGGATGAAGTGTAGGTACAAAATTGAATTTAAATGGATTCTGACCATTAGTTTTCAAAATCTTTTGGATGGAGGTTTTTGAAATGCCTAAATCCTGTCCATCAGAACGAACTGATGATTCAGGGTAAGCATGAAAATATTCCAAAACATTGACGATTTTTTTTATTTTTTAGCCTTAGTTGCAAAATGAAATATACGACGCACGCGCGTTATATAGTTATATACATATTATAACATATTCGGAAAGCTTATGAAAAGAGCTTTAAGTGAAAAAAAATTGTTCAGGTTTGTTTGAAAAAAAACAAAGTTACAGACTGTCCAATATATTATTTTCAAGCGAACTTTGCTTTTTTAACGGCAGGACTATAAATATTATCGTCATTTTCTTCGGACTCGCTATCGTTCGCTTGCCCCACCCTTCTGCCGCGCCACGGCTTGCCAAAAAATCAAGCGACCTACTGACTTTTGACAATATTTCTTATGCACTTAACATACTTCCACAAATAAAATATTTTTATCTGGGAAAGTACTAGGGTTGCCGGTTATGACAGTTTTTTTTGCTGCTACCAACCTAATTTGTTTAACAATATGCTGTCAACTTTGGCAGACTGTAACTCTGTTGTTTTTCAACGAATCTCGAAGTAAGAAAAGTAACTGGCTTTATCTATCGTTACTCATAAATGGGACATTTTATGAGACGCAAAGTTTCGTTAGTAAAAGGTCTGTCCAAATTTGTTAGATAAAAATTAATAATTACAGTCCTTCTACTATACAGAAAGAGAGTACCGTAAACATAAAAAAAGGATTATGATAATTTTGTCAGTAATATAGTTTCTTAAATATATGTTACTCCATAGAATAAATTAAGAACTACATTTGTGATTTTTGTAATTCATCAATACAGGAATAGACATAATAATGAATTTCCAAGGTTATCAGTAAATAATGTTTCCTTTATTACTATATTTTCCTAGCAAACGGTTATTTTATTAAAATTTTTGCCTTTTTTCTTTATTTTGAATTTTTCTTCTGATAATATGAAACTTCCTTGAAAATTGCGCATTTTTTACTTATATGATTTTGTCTCTCGAAAACTAATGGTTTTAGGAGAGAAATCCACACATTTTCTATATGTTCACCACTTATTTAGAAATCACTCTTCCCAAATCATTTCAATTTGCTGGATGAGACTTAACCCTATTTTCCCTCCCTTAACTACACCTCTGCATAGTTAATGCTTTCCAGACCTCTCAAACGCTCGTCAAGGGATCGAGTATACTTAAAAATTGAAGCATCTCGCCGCCTGTCTAGTCGCATCAGTTACCACTGGTTACTTAGACAAAACAAACAAGCCGCCACTATCGACTCATTACTGTTTTATCGGTTGATATGTACAAGACTGGCCTACTGATACCAATCAATAATTCATGGCACTTCAAGGCACGACGGCACGGAATGTTTTTTCTTCTCATTCTGGAAAGAAATCTGGCATTTTCTAGGAATTGGGTAATCCAGTCATACTGATTCGATTGAAAATGCCAATGGCAATTCGTTATTTATTACATAAAAAGTAAAGATTTTGCTTTAGTTTTTATATACAGAGGGCATCTATTCTATTTTGACTGAAGGGTTATTTTCTTTAAGAGAAATATGGTACCTACAAAAGTTGTATAGTCTGTTTGGAAATGATTGAGAGTAATAAAACCCCGAGATAAGAACCGGCCATGGGCGTGGTAATATTTCGTTTCAGGTAATTATCGGGTAACACTAATGCTAACAAAAATGACAGGGATTGGAAAATCGACTATCTACAGACTTTTAAAGGAAACAAAAAATGAACAAGATACTGTAAATCCCCCAAAATCATCTACAGGGAGGTCAAAAGTCGTTATA